TGCTAACCTGACCAGCACTACAAATGAAAGGGATCTGGGGGTAACAATAGACCCCACCATGAATATGAGCCGGCAATGCAATGCAATAGCTACTAGGGCCAATAAAACTCTGGCATGGATCAATCTCCAGTAAATCCAAAGAAATGATTCTCCCGCTTTACTCAACATTGGTGCGGTTGCAGCTGGAGTATTGTATCCAGTTCTGGCGCCATGCTTCAACAAGGATGTGCTAAAGCTCAAGAGGGTCCAGAGAAGGGCCACCCATATGATCAGGGACTTGCATGGCAAGCCATACGAGGAGAGGCTGAGGGATATCAGACTCCTCAGCCTAAAGAAAAGAAGGCTGAGAGAGGACCTGATTCTAGCTTACCGCTATATCAGAGGTATACATCAAGGTCTTGGTGAATAACTGTTCACCAGAGCGCCCTAGGGTGAAAACTAGAAAAACATCGACAAACTCCTGGAAGATAGATTCAGGCTGGACATTAGGAAAAACTTCTTTACACCTAGGGTATCCAGACTATGGAACAAGCTCCCCCCAGAGGTGGTGCAATCATCTACCCTAGAGGTCTTCAAGAGAAGACTGGACGGTCACCTGGCTGGGGTCATCTGACCCCAGATATCTTTCCTGCTCATGCAGGGGGCTGGACGTGATGATCCTTGGGGGTCCCTTCCAGCCCTATGATTCTATGAAAATATTTACCTGAAACTAACCATTTTCTCTTCTTTTCAGAGCAGTTTTAACTCTATGAAGTTTTAAATTTGGGTAATTTTGATCTCAAAATGTTTCTTTTTTACTTTTTCAAATTCCCCCCCTTTACTTGTGGATGAAAGCAGTCAGCCAACTACACCCAAATTGAGCCAAAATAACACCCAGATACATTTTGGATAAATCTACATTCAATGTATTTCTATTCAAAGCAAACATGCTAGTCTTCTGCACAAAGACTGCCCTGTAAAATGCTTAGCCCACTTAAACCCCTATTAAGGCCCTTCACCTATAAGGCATTACATTGTACCTTATACTATGAATATGGGTCAGTTCCATAATAGTTAAAATATAATCACTGTGTTTTGCTAGCTCTTGAGACTTTTAGCATAACGTTTATGCCATTTACTGTAGTAAAGGTCCCATCTCTCAGAAGACAGGCAAACGTCTTTGGGTAGATGTGATATCTTGTATTGGACCAACTGAGTAGTTGGAAAAAAGTTTGTTGCAAGCTTTCGGGCACAAGCACCCTTCTTAAGGCATTGCACTCTTCTTCCCTCGTCTCTCAGAAGGAAGTTAGTAGGTGAAACTTCCCATTTCATTAAAAAAAAAGCTTAGAACATCTTCTCATACTCCTGGTCATGGAACAAGCTTGAAAGCATGACCCCTAACTGATAAAATGTAGATGGTGAATCATTATTATTTGTATCATGTCTCATTATTTAAGCCAAAACTCATTATTTTGGTGAGTCTGACTTGATTTTTAATAGTTTGGGGTTAGTGATAATATTGTAGCCAGGTGCTAATTTTCAGATATTAAAGAGTTCAGGCAAGAATGTAAAGGTATTGGGATACCTTATTTCTATTTGTTTCAATGGGATTTAGTTACTTAAACATCTGCACTCAATTCCTATTAATTTTTTTACAGGAACTAGGTGCCTAACTTCCATGGACTTAGAAAAATCCTAGACTTAACAGAAAACTGTTCCCATGTTTCTTAGCCAAAAAGTTCTCCAGAAGAGGAGAGGTATGGAAGAAATGCAGAAAGAAAACACAACAGCCTGAATTTTGGAAGAGCTACCATTTGCTTGCAACTTAAGGTGATCTCTGAATGTATGAAAACCTTTACTTCTAATTCTTTACTACACTCACTCTTTCTGAGCCTCGTGCCACTGGCATTGGTAACATTGATCCATGTAATGTCATTATGCTCTAGAAGCAATGTTTAATCCTAGGAAATTATAAGGGACTGTAAACCAATTTCCAACCTTCCTTCTTTACCTCATCCCTCGTAGGAAGCAAGAGCACTTCTGGTCTCCAGATGTAAAACCCACAAGTTCTTCTCTTTCTTGCTATTTTTGTCATACTTTGATGTTTTGAAACTGTGGCAGAGAAGGGGGAGACAGCTTACGTTGTTGAGGTTGTTCAGTAAGACGTCTGATTTTTCAGTTATTCACAACTAAGGCCACTAGTGCAGATAGAACCAGAAACAATGACTTTGCTTGTTCTAGCTCCCCCTCAAAACAGAGGATCCAAATCTTACACTTTGCTAGGTCCAGATTTCTCTCCTCCCCAGCTCGCCCCCCCACTAGGGCTTGCGAAGCTTCAGGTGTTGATTCAATTTGGAGGAGATTCAGCCCGCTTTGGCAGCCAAATCTCCAAATCTGAATCAAATCAGGAGGCCAAGTAAAAGCTCCGAATTGATTCAAAGCTCTCTGAATTGATTCAGAAAAGATTTGGAGAGCTTTGGCAATTCGGGCAGTCCTGACTGGCTGCTACAGGGAACTAGACCCAGACTCCATGCTGGTAAGTAGGGGGTGGGAGGAGGGGACCATGGGGGTTGGGGGGAGATTCCTACTGCCCCTGACTGCCCCATGCTGCATGAGGGGCTCTGTCGTGAGCCCCCCAACCCCTGCCCACTCTCCCAGCACCCCCCCACATGGCTACCCGCCTGCCCAGCTCCCAGCCCTTAAAAAAAAAGCCCTGACTCACCAGCTGCTGCAGCTGTCTTGGGGTTTCTGGGGGTTCATGGACGAGCCCCCTATACAGCATAGAGCAGTGGGGGGCAGTGGGGATCACCCTCCACCTAGCAGGAGCTGGTGACTGCAAGCTTTTTTTTTTTCCAAAGAGCCATGAACTGGGGCCGAGTGGGGCTGGGTGAGCGGGTGGAAGATGGGGCCTATGTGATCTGGAGATTCAGCTGATTCAGGAGCAGCTGAATTGCCAAATCAGATTCAGCCAAACAGATTCGGGACAGTGATTCAAATCAACAAATTGAATCACTGTGCCCCAAATCGGCCGAATCTGAAGCGAACACTAGCCCTTTTGCACCGGCCTACCCTTTACCCCACACACACTCCTTTCGATAGCAAATAATGTGAAGGGGGGAGGGCAATATACTGTATAGGAGGAATAGATATTTTGGGCAGGAGATGCACCATAATCTGTGGAGAGAGAATAGGAAGGATTGAAGAAGAGAGGTAAAGAGATTTATAGTATTAGAGCTATAAGAGCTAGATGATTGGGAAGACCTGAGTGAGAAGGAAAGAGAGGGATGAACTTGAAAAAAGGTAATAAAGGAGAAAGAAAGGCCTAGCAACCTGAGGACATAAAGAAAGTGAGAAACTGCAGGTGGAAGAGGAAAGGACCAGAGTAGTGGGGGAACCTGATGCCCCAAATCAGGTTATCAACAAGTGGGACTCAGGTCCCAAGAGAAGGGGATCAAAAGACACAGACACCTTGTGGAAAGAAGCAGAGGCTCAGCAGAGGCTACTGAGGAGCCATCTAACATCCAAATGTGAGCCTGCAGGACTTTGGAAAGATGCCCCCATCTGCAGCTGTAACTAAAATGGTCATACGTATGGACCTTTCAGCATGCTAAAATCCTTTTTCTCTCATATTAAGCTTCATTATTCTGCTATAATTAAATGATACTGTGTTTGAGAAGATTCCCAGGATCATAGGAAAGTAGGACTGGAAGGGACCTCATGAAGTCATCTAGTCAAAGCAGGCACATCCCTGACTAGACCACCCCAGCCCAAGTGTCCATCTAACATGCTCTTGAAAAATTCCAGGGATGGAGTTTCTATAACTTCTCTGGGTAGCCTGTTCCAACACTTGCCCACCCTCACAGACAGAAAGTTGCTCTTCAGTACTGGAGCCAAGTCAGCCATTTCCCAGTCTGTATTTGTGTATTCAATTATTCCATCCCAAAGACAGGCCTTTGCACTTGTCTTTGTTGAAACTCATGTTGCCCGGATGTACCCAGGGTATGTACTCCCCTTTCTGACAGAAGGGGATTGGCAGCAGGCAGAGGTGCTGTGGGCTAAGCGCAGAAGGGGATTGGCAGCAGGCAGAGGGGCTGTGGGCTAAGTGGAGTCTCCCTGCTCCCTATAGAGCCAGGCCAGGAAAATATTAAACTATATACACATTTATTAATATTTACATAAATGGATAAAAAATAGACATACATATAAACATAGATACAGATCTATATGTATAACAGTATATATACTCGGATATATATATATAACTATAAACCTTATTCTCTACAATGAGTCACCACCAGGGTTTCAGGTAAGTGACAGGTAAACACAAGTAAGTGACAGCAAGGGGTCCCAGTGGATTCCCAAGCAGGGTTATAGACTCTGCTAAATTACTAATACACAGATATAGAGGTACACAAAATATAAGGCACAATATAATAAAATATCAAAACTAATACATATTTACAGCTCTATAAAATAAAATACATAATTCTTATGTGATGTGCTATCCTAAAGATCTATGCTAGCTTGAAAGGGCATCAGGCCCTGCATGGGTAAACAGCTGGCCTAAAACTGATAAACATAGGGGAATACAGGAGGACAACAAATAAGTACAGGTATGTGCAGGTAAGTATAGGGGAACAATTACTAAATGCAAATAGCTGGTACAGGGTCCAGCAGAGGCCCAGCAAAGATCTTATAACTATAAATTTACAAATATAATAATATACAAAATATGAGGCGCAGCCATATCAGGTACCCATAGCCCTTCAGTGCTTCCCCAGGCTCCAACAAGATCTCTAGGGACGTCTTCTCGGAGTGCCCCATGACCTAAGGAAGCCTTCCCTTGTCTGGGCTTTCCCTTCAGCCTTGCCGCCCAGGTAACTCCCCCTCCCCTGTGGGAATCCCTTTCCCCAGGCAACTCATGATTCCAAGGGTCACCGGTGGGAGGTCTTCGCCTGCAGGCACATTGCTCCTATCTGGCAGGAGCCTCCTGGGCACTTGCCCACCCATGGCCCCATGCACCAAAGGCTTGGCCTTTTGTCCAGGGTCAGAGGCTCAGGCTGCCTTAAGTGAACTGGGACTCAGTCCTCCATGTGGAGACTAGCTGTGCACTGCTTGTGTGAGATCCTGGCCACGTGCCAGGAGTTACCTCAAACAGCTCCCAGGGTCTTGGTCCCCACTTCAGACCTGCTGTGCAGAACTGCCTGCATCAGGCTCTGGCTGCATGCCAGGGGTTGGAGGCCTGAGGCCCGAGCCATCTCACAGCTCCCACGGCCTGAGCTCCTGGCTGCTTGTCAGTGTCTGCAGACCCGAGCTGCCTCAAGCAGCTCCCAGGGCCTGGGGTCTGTGCACCGACCCGTGCATTGTCTGGAGCCAGTGCTGATCACCGAGCCTCTCTGGTGAAGGGAATCTTCGGGGCTGCTTCGGGGCAACTGGAAACACCTGCTGGGCAGCTCTCCTCAGCTCTTCTTAGCCCTGCTTGCTTCTCTGTCCCTCGATGCATCTGCTGCATGCTGGGCATGCGGCTCCTTTTATTCTCTCTGGGGGCACCACCCCTGAAGTCTGTCCTGAAAAGTGCAGTTCACAATCAGGTCCGGACTCTCAGGCAGGCTTCTCCCTGTCCCTTCCCAATTGGTGGAAATGCTCCACCAATTGCGTTGTGAGTTTTCAATTCGTTGTCGAATTGGTGGAAATGCTCCACCAATTACATTGGAGCTTTCTTGAACCCAACATGCTGGGCTCTGTTGGTGAGTCTGCCACACAAATTTATTGTGGATCATTTTTTTCTGGTCCATCCAGATCTTTGTGTGTCCTAGTCCTACCATGCAGAGGGAGTGAAACTCCACCCAAGTTGGTGTCATTCACAAATCTAAGCAATGCACTCAATCCCATCATGCAATCATTAATAAAGATATTAAATGATACTGGACTCAGGACAGACCCTTGAGGAACTGCACTTGATACCTCCTCCCAACTAGATAGTAAGCCATTGATGGCTATTCATTGAGTGTGATGACCCGACCAGTTTTGTATCCACCTTATAGTACTTTCATTGAAACTGTATTTCATTAGCTTATGTCACAGGACACAGTGTCAAAAGCTTTGCTAAAGTCAAGCTATATTCCATACAATACTCTCCCACGTGGGTTGTTGTGTTCTCTCTGTTTACCATGGGTCATCATATCTGAAGGAAAGAATCCAGCACCCAGCCAGAGTGGAGGAATTGCAGGAGTCCATCCCAGGAAAGCAAAAATTAAAGGCCTAAAACCTGGATGTAATGCACCACATGTGTCAGAAGCCAGCTAGCCTTGGACCATGATGGCAACAAAATTTTATAACTTGTTCTAGGGCAATGGTTCCCAACACAGTGCCCATGAGCACCATGGCACCCCCCCCCCCCAAGGTTTATTCAGGTGCTCACGTGCATTTTCACAATCAGTAAAAATCATTATTCCAAAAAAAAATGCTGTCACTGATGACTGAACTCAGAACAGCAACACTTCAACATTTTTTTCACAGGCTGTACGCAATGGCCGCCAAAATGAGACCAAGTCAGTCCGACTGATACAATGACAGTGGTGGTTACTACTTCCTCCCCAAATGAAACTATGCGCATGCACATGTCCAGGAGTTTAATATTCATATTGGCGTCCACTGCTTCTTCTTTTAAATTCTAATGTGCCCTTGGGCACAAATGTTGGGAACCCCTGTTCTAGGGTAACCCATGTGTGTTGCACTACAGCACCCACACTAAGAGCTGTGCATAAGATTGACAAGAGAGCTGTTCTTGAAGCTGAATCTTGCTTGATTCTCAAAAAACTTGCAGATCTTCCTTCTGTGCCTAGATGAAACTTAAGCACTAAACAATCTAAGTGGCTGTTTTGTCAGTGCTGGAAATGTTCTGACTTTTGAGACTTTCACTTGGCCACCACAAGGTTTTTTTTTACATTTAATTCCAGACAGCATTTTTTAAAGGTGATCTGAGATAGAGAAGCCATACTGTGGGACCACTTGGTTGGTCCATCCAAAATGCCATGTCCCATTTAACAGGCATGTGAGTGTGCAGTTTAAACCTCATTAGCAAGACCTTGTCTCCTAAAAAAATCTGTCCTGAATGAAGGGCACCACACAGCTACGCTGACCCACGAGCTGAAATTTATATCTCAGACTAATGATTTGTTCCCTGAGGCCCCATTGCTCTAGGATGAAACTCAGCCAAATTAAACTGGATTCTTACTGGGCCACTGAAAGGAGTACGTTTGATTTAAGGTCTCTGTGTCTTATTTCAAATTTCTACTTCAAACTGCTGATGCAGTAACAATCACAGAAGAAAGAGCTATATTGCCAGCTGTTATATTTCCTAAAAAAGTTATCAGGATTGCAAAGAAAACTTACCTGCTTTGGGAGGGGAAAAAAAATCACTGGCCAGAGCATTCCTCTTCAATGCAGCTCTACAGTTTTAAACATAACAGAATGCTCTATATATAGCTTTATAAGAACCATGACATATGAATCACCAGCTACTACCAGAGTGTCTGACTTTCAAGTATTTCCAGGAGATAGGGGATTCCCTTACAGAGAAAGACGAGTCATGTCCATCTCCATTATAATTCCCAGGGTGATCAATGAAGCAAATCACCCAGCAATGGCTCTTGAAACTAAAGCAAAGAAAATATGTTTGCACATAATACCATACCAGGAAAATGATACAATAGCATCAGTGGGATCTATTCCTGGAAAAAGCAGCTGAAGAGTAAATATTATTATCTTCTTTTCCTTAGCTGCCAATGTCTTAATAATGTAGTATATGCTATTTTGAAAGATTTACAGCCCTTCTCAGGCTGTCACACAGCAAAGAATCTTGAGATTTGAGTTGGCTGTAATGCCACCAAAATGTATAGGTATTGTTGATGTTTGTTTTTCTTGGGGGTGAGGGGGAAGAAAAGAAAATCAAACAATTTTTGCATAGGATGGTTAGAATTTAGGAAATTAATGCTGCTATGGTAGCCATTTACCAGATGGTCTGAGTCTTTTAACTGGCATGCAAGCAGTCTCAAAAAGGTATATATGCCAAGCATTGTAGGAGTGTTTGCTCTCCGACTCATTCTCTAACTAGAATCAAATCTTAGGGAAGAATTGCTCTCTGAGAATTAGGCTTTCATGCAGGGTTATTTAATCCCTTTGGATGAGGGTAAACAAGTTACACTTAGAATCTGGATCACGATTCCTTCGCCACTAAGAAGCCAACCTAGACATTTGCTACTCATACACAAGGGTGTCAATAACTAGGGCTAAGTAAGTGGAGATGGGTACAGAGGGTGTGTCCCAACAAGTGCACAAATGTGGTTTGCAGCGCATGTGCACCCGTTCATGGCAGTCCTCGTGTCAAAAAAACTGCCACTAAAAAAAGCAGAGCAATGCATGCAGTGAGCCTGGCCGGTCAGAGCCACCACCATCCTGGGAGACCGTAGGTAAGGCTACTGGGGTAAGCACAGGTGCTAGCCCAAGCCTCCCCTACCACACCCAGGTCATTTTGCCACACGCCAGAGTGCATGTGCAGAGGCATGCCTGGGAACAAATAGCAGCAGCACAAATATGTGCCAATGCTATTTTTCCCAGGGGAAATGCATGCCCCAGTACATAAGCACTCATTGGGACACACCCGGAGAAGTAGAGATGGGCACAGAGGGTGTGCCCCAACAAGTGTGCACTACTCTGAGTAATCTACATTAGAAAAAGCTATGGTCCCTTGTTCCTCTGGGGAGTGGTTCACCCAGAAGTTGAGCCTGCTACTTTCTGTGCCTCAATTTCCTTATCTATAAAATATGAAATAATGATACTGACCTTTTTTTTTTTTTTTTACAAAGCTGTTTTAGAGCTTCTAACAAAACCTACTATAGAGGGGTTAGATACTATTATTTTCTGTTCACCATCCAGGACTGTGGTCAGGGAACAAAAATTCTAATGCGGGTCAGACCAAGGCGCCACTGGGTACAGAATGTTATCACTTCTCCTCAATATCTTAGAAGTTTAATGTTGCTTCCTTAGGGACCCACAGTGTTATGATAAAGTCAGTTTCCAATTTACACAGGGCTGTTACAGTAACCCTCTCATGTCATTTCAATGCATCAGAAATCAATGGTATACATTTAGTGTCCCAGAACATCTACAACTCCTGCTGTACCTGATGACATCTGTAAGTCTTTTTTGCATTTTCATTTTCAATTGAACATTAGTATCAAATGGAAAAGAAAAAACCATAATGAAGAACTCCCCTCTCCTCTAGCATATACTCCACCATCAGTAATAACTAAAATATCCCATAATATTTTGATCCTGTTATTTTCTATGGCTTTGTCTGGCTTGTGGGGTTAATATTTTTTTAATTCTTATTTTCCATACTTCTTGCAAAGCATCCAGTACACAACTCTGCCAACTTTTTCATGCTGTATTTATACTTATCTCTGGCTGACTTGGTACATCCATTTACACTGTGACAGATAGCCTCTGGACCCTAGCCACATATCCTACATCTCTATTATTAGTATGCTTTTTCCTTATATGCTTTGTTCTATAATTCCAGCCATAGAAATTCTTACTTTTCAAACCGAATATCCTACTTCTGCTCTGCTTGAGCTTAGACCCACCTCACTGGATTTCTTTAAGTATCTGCATGCTCCACACCAAACCCTGTGACCTTCCTCCCTGTTATTCCTGGCTAGCAGGCATGCAAATATTAGTGGGGTGGAAGGAATCTATGCTAATTTTCACAAAAAGGAGCAAATATGGGGCTGAAATCCATCACTCTTGCTCACACTGGACATGCACATATGTGCATTAAGGTGCTTTTTCTAATGCGCATTAAATTTAGTACCTCCAATGTGAGGTACTAAAGAAATGCACACTATGCTGCCTTAATGTGCAGCAATGAATATGCATGGTTTATAAGTGACTCTTAATGCGTAATAGTCTATTTTACAGTACAATAGCATAATTGCATGGTTTTTTATGTGATGCTTTAATGTGCAGTAAAACAGGCTAGTGCGCATTAAAGCGCATATGTAGTTTCATAGCTGGTAGGGTCAGAAGGGACCTAAGCAGATCATCAAGTCTGACCCCCTGCCGTGGGCAGGAAAGAATGCTGGGGTCAAACGACCCCAGCTAGGTGATTATCTAGCCTCCTTTTGAAGACCCCCAGGGTAGGAGCGAGCACCAAGTGCCTTGAAAGTTCATTCCAGATTTTAGCCACCCTGACTGTGAAGTAGCGCCTCCTGATAGCTAGCCTGAATCTACTCTCCATCAACTTATGGCCGTTATTCCTTGTTACTCCCAGTAGTGCTTGGGGGAACAGGGACTCTCTCATTGCCTGCTGGTCCCCCCTGGTGAGTTTGTAAGTGGCCACCAGATCCTCTCTCAGCCTTCTCTTGAGGTTCAGGTCTCGTAGTCTCTCCTCGTAGGGTCTGCCCTGCTGCCCCCAATCATGCGAATGGCCCTTCTCTGGACCCTCTCCATGTTGTCCACATCCCTCCTGAAGTGCGGTGCCCAGAACTGGACGCAGTACTCCAACTGTGGCCTGACCAATGTCATATGGGGGGGGAGGATCACCTCCTTGGACCTGCTCGTGATGCATCTGTGGATGCATGACAGGGTGCGGTTATCCTTCCTGACCGCGTTCTCACATTGGCTGCCCATGTTCATTTTGGAATCAATAGTGACTCCAAGATCTTTTTCTGCCTCTGCACTGATGAGATGGGAGTTCTCCAGCCTGTAGGTATGCTGCTGGTTCTTCCTCCCCAGGTGCAGTACCTTGCACTTGTCAGTATTGAAACCCATCCTATTCTCATCCACCCACTCCTGTAACCTACCCAGATCTAGTTGTAGCCTGTTCCTCTCTTCTAGCATACCCACCTCCCCCCACATTTTAGTGTCATCTGCAAATTTGAACAGGGTGCTTTTCACTCCCTCATCCAAGTTGCTGATGAAGATGTTGAACGCTGCGGGCCCAAGAACCGAGCCCTGGGGAACCCGACTGCCCACGTCCCTCCAGGTCAAAAACGACCTGTCCACTGCCACTCTCTTG